AGAGAGAGAGAGAGAGAGAGAGAGAGAGAGATAGAGAGAGAAAGAGAGAGAGAGAGAGAGAGAGATCGTGCGTTAGTTTTGTACGTAAAGTTTATGCATATATTCAGGAAAGAAAGGTCCGAAAATTTTTCAATCGTTTTTCCATCGATTCACCATCGATTAACTATCAATTCACCATCGATGGTCGGACTGATCCGCATTAGGTCTGATGCGATTCGTTCAATCCGTATGTACACGGAACCGGGTTTGCGTCATATAACAGTTGGCAGGGCCGTGACTTCTTAGGGGTGGGTGGAACAATGAGAACAGCTGCTTCTCTAGATGATGCTACATACAACACCCCGCGGTCGCGTGCGCCCAGTCCCGCGGAAGTGCGCGGCTTAACCGCTTTCGGCGGTCGGGGAACAGCGCATCTTTTGCGCAACGCCATCTTGTACCCGGTCTCTCTAGATTTTGAATAAAAAATAATCATCAAAATTAAAGTATCAAGTAAAGTACAAAGTATAAAATAATAAAGTATAAAACCAAGTAGAGTAATAAAGTAATAAAAGTACAAAGTATAAATTAAAGGTATCACTTTCATGCCGATAGGGAGCCATGTCTCACAACCTTCACAAAAACGCGGGATATATAAGATTATGTCCTCGTCAGATCCATCTGTGCGCATGCCTAGTCTATGATAAAATCGTTTCACTTTCCTCTGAAATTATATACTTAAAATGGAGAGTACATATTTGGGAGTAATTTTCTCTCTTTTTATATTTATGAGCATCTTCCTTCATGCTATCCCCTCCGCTTATCCTCATCTCTATTCTCAGCATCGCCAAATAAAATGATCTACACTTTTCTTTGCCGTTGGTCGGCGCTAGTGTCGCATCTATAAATGAGTGTATGATGCCAAACGAAGTAGCCTATATGCATAATATTGTTGCGATTACGTACGTAACATAGAGAGTAGAACATACTCGCGAGTAGCTTGATATACTTTATTCTCGTCCCACTCACTCAATTTAATGATGATGGAGTTCAAGTCTTATCAGATTAGGGTTACTCAACCCTATCTATCTATCTATCTATCTATCTATCTATCTATCTATCTATCTATCTATCTATCTATCTATCTATCTATCTATCTATCTATCTATCTATCTAAGTGCGCGAGTGCTCGTGCGAATTTCGACACGCAGCACAAAAAGGCAAGCAAATTGTTTTTGTATAATATATGATGATGTTTGCCCGCAGATTCGTTCACAACAGACAGAGAAAACTCTCTATTGTAAATCGAATTCTATTCATATTTTATCGTGAATGGTTAAGATTGCGGATAGGTTATATATGTATAGGCGCCTACTACACACGCATACTACGCGCACGCACACGCGCGTACGCTCTTGCACGCGCATCCTCAGACGCAGATGTACACGCGCGCACACGCATTCGCGCATGGGTATACATTTAATCAAGAGTGAATAATAGAGATCTCTATTATCCACTCTTGATTTAATGTTGTCTCGCGTGAAATTGTTTTTGAATGTAAAATTTTGCATTCATGAAACGTTGTTGGTGTTGGCACACGAATGCATACGCGCGCGCACGCACGCACACATACACACGCGCGCGCGCGCACGCACGCACGCGCATGCGCATGCGCACAAGGGAGGCCCGATATTTGCGATGGTTCAGCGTGTGTGTGTTATAACAGCGAGCTGTACGGCCAACAGTGTTACATGGTGCTGTAGAAAATTGGCCGAAAGTGGAGTAGACTGTAATTTAGAAGAAGGAAGGGAGGGAGGGAACTCACCCACCGAGATATCGTATCGAATTTCTGTGTGACGTTCGTACCGGATGTTGGTATTGATCTGAATTGTTGGGATAGAATAATTCATTTCTGAATTGAATAGATAAGATTTTTTTGTAAGAAGAATTGTTTGAAGCGAAGTGCCAACCACGCGTACTGATCGCGATACTAGCGCCGCCGCTGCTGTAGGTGGCGTCACGTGGTGCATCGTCTGCGATGGCTTCAGAGCAGGTGATAGTCAATATGAAATCAGTCAAGGTGGATAGAGAGAGAGAGAGGAAGAGAGAGAGAGAGAAAGAGAGAGGGAGTAATTTATAACTCATCGTACCGCGAACTGGAGTGAAACTTATTTAAACAAGGAAAGGTTTCTCAGAATAAGTTGTGAGACCAGTGATCTCGTAATGTGATATTTGAAATTGTGCAGTAAGTACGTTGCATAGCATTATATGATTGAAATATAAGTGAGTTTACCTGATAGAGGCAATATATGTGACGCACGCACGTACGCATATACACGCCCGCGCGCGCTCGCAGGCCCGCACTTACGCACACCCGCATGAAGCGTTAAATCACTCGATTTGATTTGACGCATTTTTATGTCGTTGCAGACTCTAAAAGCAAAGTGAAACGTTACTTTAGTTGTTGATGTTAATTGTTAAAATATTCGGCAGTATTATATGAAATTGAGTAAAGTTGACTTCATTCGTGTGTATATAAATCGACATCGACGTAGAAATATATATATAAATTAACCTAAATAAATATACGCCCGTATAAATTCACACACGAACTCACGCATACACACGCCATACCACATATGCACGCGCGGGTCAAACACAAAAACAAACACACCAAACAAACACAAACACACCGAACCGGTACGCGCGCGCGCGCGAAGCAAGTCCGCACACAACATCCATGTACACACCCCATCACACACACACACACACACACACACACGACCACAATACATCACCGTAGACACACGCACACGCAGCGAACGGAACACGCGCACACACGCGGCACGCGATAAGTCATATCATAATATTCCAGTACTTCTAATATATAATATGGAATTGTTACGAAAACAAGTGTTCGGCATCATATTGGCATAAAATGTATCGAGAAAGGCAAAATATTTCGTGGACCCACGCCCCGCCCCGACGACCCGGACCGCCGGCCGGTGCTTTTAGCAATTAATATTTTTCTAACGAAAATTAGCAATTTGTCATGTGTGCTTGCTATTCACGTGTAAAGTGAAAAAAGGTGCTTTCAAAGCTTAATAAATTGGTTTTATCAAACGACCGAACGAACAACCTACTGCGAGTTTCTTTATAGTTCGCTCTATTTACAGAGAATGCGCGTTTCGATAAAATGTCGCCTTGAATAAGCATCCACAAGGGAGAGAGAGAGCGCGAGAGAGAGAGAGAGAGAGCCGTGCGGGGAGACAGACAGAGAGAGAGAGAGAGAGAGAGAGAGAGGAGAGAAGAAGAGAGAAAGAGAGAGAGAGAGAGAGAGGCCCCAGAGAGAGAGAAGACGAGAGAGAGAGGAAGAGAACAGCGAGAGAGACAGAGAAGAGAGAGCGAGAGAGAGAGAGAGAGAGAGAGAGAGGAGAGAGAGAGATAAATGACAAAAACGTGCGTTAGTTTTGTAACGTAAAGTTTATGCATATATTCAGGAAGACAAAGGTCCGACACAGATTTTTCAATGCGCGACCTTTTTGCCAATCGATTCAGCCATCGATTAACTATCAATTCACCCCACATCGATGGTCGGACTGATACCGCCATTAGGTCGAACTGCGATTCGCTCAATCCACGTATCGTACACGGAACCCCGGGTTTGCGTCATCCATACAGTTTATGCCGAAGCGGGTCGCGTGACCTTCTTAGGGGCTGGGAGTGGAACACAATGAACACAGCCCCTGCCTGGCCTCCACCATTCTTGCAAATAAAAAATAATCATGCAAAATTAAAGTTATGGCAAGTAAGTATCACAAGTATAAAACTAATAAAGTATCAGAACACCAGAAGTAGGAGTACATAAACGTAAATAAAAGCTAACAAAAGTATAAATTAAAGGTATCACTTTCATGGCCGCGATAGGGAGCCATGCTCACAACCTTCGCAAAAACGCGGGATATATAAGATTATGTCCCTCGTCCAGATCCATCGCTGCCATGCCAGCGATGCCTAGTCGTATTGATAAAATCGTCTCTTCACTTCCTCTGAAATTATATACTAAAATGGAGAGTACATATTGTGGGAGTAATTTCATCTCTTTTATATTTATGAAGCATGCTTCCTTCAATGGCCTATCCCCTCCGCTATCCTCATCTCTATTCTCAGCGATCGCCAAATAAAATGATTCTAAGCACTTTGTCTTTGCCCGTTGGTCGCGCTAGTGTCGGCCATGCTATAAAATGAGTGTATGATGCCAAACGAAGCTGAGCGACTATATGCATAATAGATTGTTGCGGATTACGTACGTAACATAGAGAGTAGAAGCAATACTCGCGAGTACTTGATATACTTTATTCTCGTCCCACTCACTCAATTTAATGATGATGGCATGTTCAAGTCTTATCAGATTAGGGTACTCAGGCCCTATCTATCTATCTACTATCTATCTATCTATCTATCTATCTAACTCTATCTATCAATCTATCTTATCTATCTATCCTATCTATCTAATCTATCTCATCTACTTATCTAAGTCTATTTATCTTATCTATCTATCTATCTATATATTAATTATATATATATATATATATATATTATATATATAAATATATCTATCTATCTACTCTATTTATCGTATCCTATTATCTATGCTAAATCTTTCTATCTATCTATCTCGATCTATCAATCTTAAACTATCCTATCTAATCTATCTAATCTCTATCTGCTCTAATCTATCTATCTATCTATCTAGTCTATCTATTCTATCTATGCTATCTATCTATCTCATCTATCTATCTATCAAGCTGTCTATATCTATCTATCTCTCTCTCTCAATCGTCTCTCTCTCTCTCTCTCCTCTCCTCTCTCTCTCTCTCTCTCTCTCTCCCTCTCTCTCTCTCTTTCTCCTGTCTCTCTCTCGCTCTCTCTCTCTCTCTATCTATATATATATATATATAATGTATATATGCCCCTGATGGTGAGGCTCACCTACATATTTAGCTCATGGTAATTTTTCGTTCTTATTTGGGAGTAGCCGTTTCCATTTCGTAAACTCTCTATGTAACCGAGGAGGCGCTGCTATGTACACGATGAAATCAGCACGTTGTCAACATGAAACCTCACACGCGAGCGCCGCGCGCAAATTTTCGCAATAAATTCATATATGAAAACTACGTACAACGCTTTCGCCGTCATGCCGCCTTTAGTGAAACGTTGCCTGGCAAATTTGAGTTTTCGCGTTATATTACGATCGCGTTGCCCAAAGACGTTATATATATATATATATATATATTATATATATAATATATAATATAGTACATATAAATATATAGCACGCC